AAAAAAAAAAAAGAAAAAAAATGGAAATAAAAAAAAATCAAGTCAAAAAAAAATAAACACTAAAAAAAACCTGCATCAAAAAAAAACTGTTAGAAAAAAAAATGGAAGGAAAAAAAAATATACGGAAAAAAAAGACTGAATAAAAAAAACATCATGCAAAAAAAAAGAAATCAAAAAAAAAAGGCTACAAAAAAAAAGATTTGTTAAAAAAAATTCTCAAAAAAAAAAAATTATCAAAAAAAAAATTTAGGGAAAAAAAAAGACCACAGAAAAAAAATAGGGAAAAAAAAAAAATGATAGAAAAAAAAAAATGTGACAAAAAAAACAAAGCTCAAAAAAAAGCATACTTAAAAAAAAAGAATTTTAAAAAAAACCAATTATAAAAAAAAAAAGCTGTAAAAAAAACTGGCAAGAAAAAAAAATTTGAAGAAAAAAAACTTTTATGAAAAAAAATTTCTTCTAAAAAAAATAGAATTAAAAAAAAATTTGTGTTAAAAAAAATTTTTCTCAAAAAAAACAATGCACAAAAAAAAGATCAGTTAAAAAAAAGACTTAACAAAAAAAACTTACACAAAAAAAAAATTTTACAAAAAAAAATTGCCATGAAAAAAAACTTAAAAAAAAAAAAACTTTGCTAAAAAAAAAGAAATATTAAAAAAAAGAATATGAAAAAAAAAATGTACTTAAAAAAAATCTAAAAAAAAAAAAACGTTGTTCAAAAAAAACAAATTGGAAAAAAAAGATAATTTAAAAAAAAGGATTATGAAAAAAAAGGGTTTTAAAAAAAAACTCTATTGAAAAAAAATTGTGATTAAAAAAAACCATAATGAAAAAAAAAAAACTGAAAAAAAAAGACTAGATAAAAAAAAAACATAACAAAAAAAAAGTTTTCTAAAAAAAAAGTAATAAAAAAAAAAAAAATATGAAAAAAAAATAAAATAAAAAAAAACAAACTTAAAAAAAAAATGTAAACAAAAAAAATTTGAGAAAAAAAAAAATAAGTCTAAAAAAAATAATAGATAAAAAAAATCAGTATTAAAAAAAAAGCAATTTAAAAAAAATTGTTTTGAAAAAAAATGCAAATTAAAAAAAAATTGTTTTAAAAAAAAGAAAAGTTAAAAAAAAAGGTCAATAAAAAAAAAGTGCCCAAAAAAAAAAAAGAAAAAAAAAAAAGACTTTTCAAAAAAAATATGAAAAAAAAAAAAAAAATTATAAAAAAAAAGTGGCACAAAAAAAAGGGAT